GATTAAGGTAAAGTGATGCAGGGCGCCACCAAGTGGAGAGTAGTGCTAACTACTGCCATATAAAACATCTGGTCATCAATGAGTGTTTTCTAGTGCCTGGTTTTCCAGGCAATATTGCTGGAGAGATGGAGGTCCACGTTTCCAGGAACAATCCTATTTTTTCAGATGCTTTAAGTGTTAAGTACAGATGGAAAGGGCCCATCAAATCCTTCTGACAGTTCAGAGATTTCACTTACTCTTCAGGTAAAAATGTAAGCTCTAAGAAGGAAAGTTTTGGTATTTCTTGCTCATTGCCTGTGGTTGTTGCCATGCCTAACCTTTGGGTAAGTAGATTATTCGTTGTGTAAGAATCATTTTTTGCCTCTGCCAGACACTTCCCATGATCATGCTGTCCAAGGGTTACAGTGGGCTGCATAAAATCTAAATCCTCTCACATGGGTTGTGACAGTCTTGAGGTGGTCATAGTCATGTTTCAAGGAAAATAAGTAAAGTCTAGGTGTCTATATTTCAATTCTGGGTATGTGAGGTCTTTTGGCTTCTGGATGTTTTAGCACCACATCAAAAGACCTTCTGAAATAGAACCGCGCTTAGCTCAGGGTGCTCCTCCGTCTTAAAAAGAGGAAGGGAATCGGTGCACGACACCAGTGCCAAAGCCACCGTGTGGAAGAGGTATGCACACCCCCGGGGGAAAGGCCCCCATAAGCACTCACTGGACAGGTTCCCAGGCGCGACCGGACACTGGCTCAGGGCCTGTGACGCGAGGATGTCGAGTTCCTCTAGGTCGTCCGCGGTGAATTCCGCGTGCGCGCCGAATGGGTCTTCGGGGTCCGGGACCGCGGTCTCAGAGAAGCTCCGGGCCCGCTTACTCGGAGGGTTCCCGAAGGCCCGCGATAGACCAGGGAAGGGCGCCGGGCCGCCGCTCTGCTTCCTGTGACTGTTCGGTGCGGGTGTCCCAGCCATGACCTCCTTCAGCCCGCAGCGTCCGAGGACGCCAAGCACAGCCTTGTCCGCGGAGAGCCCGACTTAGCCTAACCGCCCGCGCGCCGCCGCTCTCCTCAGCTACAGCGTCTCCCCCGCCTACGGGCCAATCAGCTGTCAGCTAGCGGACGCAGAGGGATGACGTGTGCAGAGCGCGCGGCTACCCCTGACAGGTTCCTGCCTGTCTCGACTCAGGACCGCTCTGTCGCTATTGTGCCAGGACTCTGTGCAGTGCTATCGGGGTTACCCGTGTTGCGGGATCGAGGAGCGTCTGCCCGACCGCACCTGCGGCTGCCCCCGGCGGCACTGCGTAGAATACCGAGCCTTTGAGGAGGAGCAGGTCGCCTTTCTTGAATCGAGACAGGCAGCATTCAGGGATTAGCTCTGTTTGAGCTCACTCATCGCGGCTGACCCAGCTTTCATGTATCCAGAGACTCTTTTTGGGAGGAGGCTGGAAGAGTAGAGTCGGGGAAGAGAAGGAATGCAGCTCTTCTCTTGGAAGCAGGGATCTTCCAGAATAGCGAATGTTTCAAGTATGTGTGTATTTGAGAAAAATCTGGGAAGGATGATCTCGAGAACGGTGTGCCTGTTCAGAATTGCCCCGACGGTTAACTTTCGTTTATTTCTCAGAGAGTCTTTATGTCCCGAACGCTGGTTGGATAGAGATGAATGAAGCTCAAGAGGTCAAGGAAGGCTCCCCGTTAGTGGTCCTTGAATTGTCCAACAGGTTGAGGGAAAATTGGCAAGAAAAATGGGTAAGAAGCTGACGCATGATGTTGCTGAGAAAAATCATGCTTCGACAAGGATACCAGGTGGAAGTTACTACGGCACAGAGAGGAGGTAAAACTTCACAGAGGAACAGACTTGCGTTTTGCTTGGGTGCATGACAGACTTTTATGAGCAGAAGTGGTGGGCGGAACAGTTAGCAGGAATGGGGAAATAGCATTGGAGAGCAACAGGATCCAGACTTTTCTACTCTGCTTGCTCATTGCCAGACTTAGCTTGTGAGTCTATCAATCTAAGACATCGGGTGAAAAGGAGAGTGCTCAGGCCTAGAATACCTTAGGTCTTGTGTTTTGTTTTTAGATTTGTTTTTTTTTTATGTATATGAGTGTTTTGCCTGATGTATGTATGTGCACCACATGTATGTCTGATGCCTACAGAGGTCAGGAGGCATTGGCTCACTTAGAACTGCCTTAGTTTTTTTATTCAGCTGCTGGTAGTTTCCCTTAGCTGCCCAACATAATGTTGACTGCTTAAGCCTCCCAGCCCCATTTCCCTCTTTTTCACAGTGTCATGACATGTAACCAAATCTGGCCTAGAACTCAAAAATGTCCTTACTCCCCTCTGAGTGCTTGGATTACAGACATGAACCACCCTGTCCAGCTGTTTTTGTTTTTTGAGATGGCCTCAAACTTTAAATCCTCCTGTCTCAGTTTCCAAGTGCTTAAATTGTGAGCTACCATGCCTGACTGAATACCCAAGTCTTAATAACTAAGATCTGTGGTTCTGAAAATTGTCTGTCCATTGTCACAGGACTGTCCATTGTCAAGAGGGATTAGATTCCACAAAATAAAAGAGAAGTAACTTCTATTTGGGGAGAAGGAAGCCGTGACTGCTGACAAGTTATTTTCAGCAGCATGGGGCTGGGTGCCAACTGGCAAGACACCACTGGCCTAAAGCCCACAGAAGGTGCTTTTTGGAGATGACCAAAGCAAGCTGATTAAAAAAAAAAAAAAGTTTTATGTGCACGGGTGTCTTGCTTACATGTATGTCAGAGGCCAGAAGAGGGCATCAGCTCCCCTGGAGCTGGAATTACAGTGAGCCTCCATGTGGGTGCTGGGAATTGGACCCTGGTACTCTAGAAGAACAGCCAGTGCTATTAACTGTTGAACCGTCTCTCTAGCCCCCAAGCTGGTGTTTTAAAATTTTGATTCTCCTGCAGCAGCTGCTGGAGTGCTGGGATTATAGTTGTGCTAGCTGGGCTTCAGTGTGCATGCAGGCTTGTAATCCCAACAACTCAGGAGGCTTAGACTGGGGAATCACAAATTTAAGGTCTGACTGAAGAGTTTAGTGAGACCCTGTCTCATAAAAAAGATATCTTCAGGGAAAGTTTATTATTATTTCCAGTTGTATAAACGGTCTAGAGGGCAAATCAGAAGTCTTGTGCCTCTCAATTAGGTGTTTCAGTAAATACATATGGGGTTTGGACAGTGTTAAAAGTATTTGCTTAGAATGTTCAAGGTCCATAGCCGGGCGGTGGTGGAGCACACCTTTAATCCCAGCACTCGGGAGGCAGAGCCAGGCAGATCTCTGTGAGTTCGAGGCCAGCCTGGGTTACCAAGTGAGTTCCAGGAAAGGCGCAAAGCTACACAAAGAAACCCTGTCTCGAAAAACCAAAAAAAAAAATGTTCAAGGTCCTGGATTTGATTTCTAGCATCCTGTCTCCCCTAAAATAGGGTCACATTTCTGGGCATGATAACACAAACCTGTAATCCTAGCACTATGGAGGCTGAGGCAGGAGGATTTTAAAGTCAAGGCCTGTCCAGTCTATACAGAGTTCCAGGTCAGTCTGTGCAATAGTAAGACCCCATCTCAACTCCCTCCTTCCCAAACAAAATTGGCTTCTATTCTGGATTTTTTTTTACTTGGTGGTTGGTGGCAGATAACATCTAGCAAGAACTGCCGCCGCTTTACAGAGTATGATCAGGGAAGAGTCACTGTCATTTTTCCTCCAGAACTGGGGTCTGAAATCTAGGGCTCTTCACAGGCATCAGGCCAATACTCTTATCATTGAGCTACATCCCTGCCCCTTTTTACTCTTTTGTTTTGTTTTGTTTTTTTCGAGACAGGGTTTCTCTGTGTAGCTTTGCGCCTTTTTCCTGGAACTCACTTGGTAGCCCAGGCTGGCCTCGAACTCACAGAGATCCTCCTGGCTCTGCCTCCCGAGTGCTGGGATTAAAGGCGTGCGCCACCACCGCCCGGCTCCCCTTTTTACTTTTTTGACTGTTACCCAATCATGACTTCAAGCTGTGATCCTCCTGCCTCCGCTTCCCAAGTAGTTAGGATTTTAAGACATAAGGAATCAACTTGGTAAAACACAGTGAAGGGCTTGGGCTTCCTCACTGCTTTGCAAGATGGTCTTTATCTGTGTGTGCTTGCTATATGTGTATTTGCTCACCACTGATAAAATGTCTAGTATAAAAACATACAGAGAACAGAGCTGGGCATAGTGGCTTATGGCTTTAATCCTAGCATTCGGGAGGCAGGCCTGGTCTACATAGAGTTCCAAGACAGCTAGGGCTACATTGAGAGATCCTGTCTCAAACAAACAAACAAACAAACAAAGCACAGTGAGGCTTGTCTACCTCAGACCACTGTGGCTGCAAATGGACTAGAGGGTGAACAGTAGACATCAGAAGGAGAGGAATGGTGTCCAGGCCACTTAGAGCAGTGGTTCTCAACTGGTGGGTCACCACCCCTTAGGGGGTCACACATCAGTTATTTACACTATGATTCATAACATAGCCAAATTAGGAAGTAGCAATCATAAAATTTTATGATGGGGGGGGGGTCACCACAACATGAGGAACCGTATTGAAGGGTTAAAGCATTAGAAAAGTTGAGAACCACTACCTTAGAGCCTGATTGTAAGAACTTTGGCTTTTTTTAAAGCACTGAAGAACGTTAAGCCAATGAGAACATATGAATTATGAGTTGTGGTTTAACAAGATCAGTTTTTCCCCCCTTTGCATGTGTGTCAGGTGTGTGAGCACACATGCAAGTGCATGTTGAGGCCCAAGCCTGGGAGTCTTACTGAGGCAGGGTGTCGCAACTGAACTCAAAGCTCACCTATAGGGGGAGGCTAGCAATCCAGCTTGCTCCAGGGATCCCTTGTCTCTGCCTGAATTAAAACACACAAACATATGGCAACTTGGATATCACGAAAGATAGGTGGTTTTCTTTACAAAGTATATTTCCTTTTACTAATCTCTGAAAAAGTACACCATTAGAAAAACAACTACACAAGAATGATAGCCTTTTAATGAGTTGGTCTAATTCATTCAAAGTGACACAGACGTCAGAGTACAACAAAGATGAAACAGCTCTGGTAGGATTTCGGACTGAGTTTACTTTAAATTCACAGCTGAGGTAGGAATTGCTGAACACTAGAGACAATGAGCCATTGGATTATTTATTATTATAATTTTTTTTTTTTTTTTTTACGAAAGTTTATTACAATGTACAACAGGCTCCAGGGCAACACTTCATTCTAACTATAGGTGGCAAAGATGTTGTTATAGTAGGGAATCCAGATGTTTAACAGGCTCCAGGGAAACACTTCATTCTAGCTGTAGGTGGCAAAGATGTTATGGCAGGGAATCCAGATGTTTAAATAGGAATGGAAGAGGGTCACCATCATCTCAAATATGAGGAACAGCTTACTTTTTGCCAGATTTCTTAATTCCACCTGTGGCTGCAAAAAGAGAAGTTGATTAGAGAAAAATATAGTTGTGGCTAAAAAGCCTCAGGGGTCCTAGTAGTACTTGGCTCTTGTACTGGTGTTTAGTACGACAGACATGCAGAGTTCCTTTTTCAATACGGTCTCTCCTAGGCAAAGGCCAAGCATGGCTAAGGCAGGGGCAAGGCAACTGCTGTGTGCGGCTCTCCATCTACACTATGATGTCCTTCAGATTAGCTTGGTAACTCTCCTGCCACAGCAACCCACTTTACAGATAAGTAAGTCTTGATGTTTGGTGTTCTTCAAGGTCAGAAGCTAGTATGTGAGAAGGCTCAGTTCTCATCTGGTACTCAGACTTTTCTGTTTTTGGAGTGTTTTATTTTTTGTTTATGGAGAAGTCTTATTAAACAGTACCAGTGGGCTTCAAATTCACCACCTTTTTTGTGGGCCCTTTTCCCCCTATTGTTTTTTGTTTTGATTTTCTTTTCTTGAAACAGAAAGAACACAGAAGTTGGTGTGTGGGGAGGTGGAGAAGATCTGGAAAGAGTTGGGAGAGGAGAAAACATGAGCAAAGTATATTGTATGGAAAAAAAGGGTTTAGCCAGGTGTGGTGGTGCATGGGATTAACCCTAGCACTTGGGAGGCAGACACAGGAGGATCACTGTGAGTTTGTGGCCACCTTGGTCTATAGAGTGAGTTCCAGCACAGCCAGGACTATATATAGCAGTGATTTCCTACCTTCCTAAAGCTGCAACCCTTTACTACAGTTCCTCATGCTGTGCTGACCCCCAACCATAAAATTTTGTTGTTACTTCATAACCGTAATTTTGCTACTGTTATGAACTGTAATGCAAATATCTATGTTTTCCAATGGTCTTAGGTGACCCATGTCAAAGACTTGTTTGACCCCAAGGAGTCCAGACTCACGTGTTGAGAACCACTGACAGAGAAACCCTGTCTCAAAAAATTCATCTTTCTGCCTGCCTCAGTCTCCCTCAGCCTCCCCAGATGTTAGGATTAGTAGTATATACCACCATACCAGGGCTCTACGTAAGTAGTCTAACTTCTAATTGCATACTTTTTCCCCTTCATATTTTATGTGTGTGCATGTGTGCCTGCATGTGTGGGCCATAAGCTCACCCCGGGTAGTGTCCTCCATCAACCTTGGTTTGTTTTGTTTTGTTTTTTGAGACAGAGTATCTTGATAGCCCAGAGCTTGCCAAGTAGGCTAGACTGGATGTCCAAGAACGCTGAGATCTGCTTGTCTCTGCCTCCACAGTGCTGGGACTGTAAGCAGACACCACTGTGCCTGACTTTTCTGAGGAGGGTTAGAGGTATCCAGCTCAGGTCCTCATGCTCCTCGGGCAAGCACTTTCCCGCCTGAGCCATCGCTCTAGCCCTTATTGCATATCTTTAAAAAAATCATTTCTTTTAAGTTGTTTTACTTCTTTTTTAAAATTTATTTTTAATTTTGTGTGTATGAGTGTTTTACCCACAATATATGTGCACCATGTGCATGCCTGGTACCTGCAAAGCCAGAAGAGGGCGCCAGATCCCCTGGAACTGGAGTTACAGATGGTTGTGTGCAACCATGGAAGTCCTAAGAACTTACAAGAGTAGCAAGTGCTCTTTACTGATGAGCCATCTCTCCAGCACCTTTTTTAAAATTACATTCTATGCCAGCCAGTGGTGGTACATGCCTTTGATCTCAGCACTCAGGAGGCAGAAGCAGGTGGATCTCTCTAGGTTTGAGGCCAGCCTGGTCTATAGAGCTAGTTCCAGGACAGCCAGTGCTACACAGAGAGAACCTGTCTCCAAAACAAAAACAAAAAAAAAAAAAAAAAGAATTCTAGATGTCAAATTACATTTTACTTCGTGTGTGTGTGTATGTGTGTGAACATTAGTTCACACATATATGCCATAGTGCACAGGAAGAATCTCGAGGACAATTTTCAGGAACTAGACAATTCCATCACATAGATCCCACAGATTGAACCTGGGTCCTCAGGCTCAGATGCAGGTCTTTACCCACTCAGCTATCTCATTGTTCCCCTCACAATTGCATATTCTTAACTGCCACATTACAACACACTATATCCTATCTTCTATTCCTGGAGACTGGCTTATTATGCCTTCATTTTATTCAGTTTAAAAAATCCAATACATTTGCCACTCAGTAGATAATTAGTGAAATGTTTGTACAATTAATTATGCCTAATATAAGAATGTGAGTGCAGCAGAGCAGTGATGGTGCACGCTTTTAATCCTAACACTCGGGAGGTGGCGGCAGGTAGATCTCTGTGAGTTCAAGGCCAGCCTGGTCTACGTAGCAAGTTCTAGGACACTCAAGGGTATACAGAGAAACTCTGTCTTGGGGGAAAAAATGCGGGTGCAAAAGAACTGTGACAAGGCCAGGCAGTTGTGGCGCATGCCTTTAATCCCAGCACTCGGGAGGCAGAGCCAGGCAGATCTCTGTGAGTTCAAGGCCAGCCTGGTTTACAGAGCCAGCTCCAGGACAGACACCAAAACTACATGGAGAAACCCTGTGTCCAAAAAAGCAAAAAACAAACAAACAAAAAGAACTGTGACAAAATAAATCTTTTAATAAACCAGGCAGAGTCACATCCCAGCATTTGGAGGCCAAGGCAGCAGTAGGATAAGGAATTCAAGGCGTGCTTGTGGGGTGTGTGTGTGTGTGTGTGTGTGTGTGTGTGTGTGTGTGTGTGTGTGTGAGGAAACCTTGTTTAAAACAAATAAGAAACCCAAAATAGATGGTGTTCAATGAGAAGTAGTACTAGTTGGATTTCCCTTATCAGAAATTCCTGGGATCAGAAGTTTTTGGGGGACTTTTGCATGTACATATTTCAGGGATGGGACCCAATTATGAACAACACAACATTCATTTATGCTTCACCCCCCCACCCCCACTGCATACAGCTTGAAGTTAATGTAATATAACACTTCCACTTCCTCAGCATTTTGACTGCAACTCATCATCCAAGGCCAGGAGTAGAATTTTCTAGTTCTGGTGAGGTTTCAGATCTGGAGCATTTTGGATTTACAGATTATAAATACTCAGTCTGGATAGGATTTCACCAAGGTTTGACCTTCTTATACATAATCACAGATTAAAGGAAGGCTCCAGTTACCTGACCTCATTCTAAACAGCAGTTTCAGCAGCTAGAATTTCATTGCTGTGTGGATAAACAATAGCTCAAACCTACTGCAATAGGTCTTGGGGTGACAGCTCCAGTATCTGTGCCACACCGATAACAGGCAGAATAATCACTAGTTAGAAAATGCAAAATAGTGCTTTTACTATGCACACAAAGCCAGGCTGGTGGCACAGGCTCTAATCTCAGCTATCTGGGAGATGAAATCAGGAGAATCATAAATTCAAGGCCAGCCTGAAAAACTTAGCAAAAACATGTCTCAAAATAATAATGACGGTCGGGGTCTTGTTTAGCATGCATGAGGTACTGTAATAAAAAAGAATAAAAAGAGGCACAGCAATTAAAACTAAACAACAACAAAGAATGGAGTTAGAGTGACAGCTTAGCAGTTAAGAGCACTGGTTGCTCTTCCAGGGGACCTAGGATGGATTCCCAGCTCACAACCATCTGTAACTACAGTCCCAAGAGATCTGACGCCCTCACCTGCTCTCTCAAGGCACTGCACACACATGGTACACAGACATGCACGGAAAAAACACCCATCACATAAAACACAAAAGTAAGTTTTTTAAATGTGGAATTGGAACTGCTGGGCCTGTGATTCACTCCTAAGAGGCAAAACCGTGTGTGGAGGTGGGGGTGGGGGAGATGGGGTGGAGATTAGGTTAGCAAGGTGGAGAGAGAGAGCATGAGGCATAGGACACAGCTCAGGTGAGCGAGTTGGCCTTGCATAAATGAGTTTGCTCCCTGGCATAGGCACAGATAAACATAAAACAGCACCCAGAGTAAAACACATGTGAAGGAGCCTGGACTTTCATCTTTTAGTCAGACACACCCAAAGGTGACTCAGGACTCAATAAACAGACAATTCGAGCAGCAAGTAAAAGTTCTATGTTTTAACATAACAAACTATAAAGAAGCAGCGAACGACTAATTTGGAGCCAGAAACTGGACGATATTCAGAAACTTGGCTATATGCATCTGTTCAGAGTACATTTTCGTGTTTCCATTTCTGTAGCTTCCCTAGGGCGGAAGCCCAAGACTGTCTGCAGAGGCAAGAGATTTTGTTTTCTGGCCACATTTCCACTCCCATCCCTCAGTACTGCTGCAAACCCAAGACAGGCCAGGGGGCTTGGCCAGAGTGGACACTCGGACCCTGCAGTTCACCAACGACCCCGGGGACAGACCTGTCCTGTCCCCGTACCTACACTGGCTCGGAGCATTGGTCTCCCAGAGTTGCGCTCGACCCTCACTTACCCAGGGGTCCCTTGCCCGCGGCCTTGGCTTTGAGCTCCTCGAGTTTCTTCTGCTCCTCTTTCTGTTTCTGCTTGAAAGCCTTATCTTCCTGCGGAGAGGCAGAGCAGGTTCACTCCAGGCCAGTCGCCCATTCCCTCAGCGCCCGCCCGCGCCTCCGCTCCCGTCCTCACCTCGTCCATCTCCTTGGCCTGCTTCTTGGGCTGTTTCAGGGGCTTCTTTTTGCCACCTGTGGGCGACACAAGCATGCTCGGCCCATCCCCGCCATCCATCGCCCTCCTCCCTGTCCCCCGTCCCTCCGTCCCCCGTCCCCACACAGCCTCCTCACCTTCGCGGCCCGACATGGCGCCTCCTGACAGCCCCTTCACCAGACCCCGAGCCTAAGCCGGAAACGGAGCTTACTGCCTGCGCCTCTGCCGGGCGGCGGGCCCACTGATTGGCTTCTAGGCAGGAAGTTGCCCTCACGTCTTTTAAATGACGCGTTCTGCAGGGCGGGTGCTAGCCGGTCAGGGGTCGTGTGAGTGGCAGACGCGGGGCTTACCGCTGGAGCGTAATAGGCTTAGGCTGTTCAGGTACGAGGCGGAAGGCTGGTTCTGCCTGGGGACGATCCGAAACCTAGGGGGTGGGGGGAAGGTGTCTGGCTGAAGGCCTGTAATCCTGCGCAGAAAGAAAGCTTGCAGGTGGAGGGGAGGGCACGTGCAAAGCGCCTTTCCGGAACCGAGGAAAGCACAGCTGGCTGGAACACTATAGGATGGGAGATGGCAGTGGCCATTATCACCTGGTCCTCAGCTTCGGAAGCCGCGGGGAAAAGTTTGGACTTTATGAAATAATGAGAGTAACTGTCTGCAAATTCTTTCTTCTTCTAGTTCATTCATGTACTACGTAGAGAGAGAGTACTCTGGACTGGGGATTGAGCAAAACGGACACTGTAGCCAAGCAAACCTACAGCAAAGCAAATAAGTAAACTTTGTATCACACTATGTGACCTGTGTAGGGAGAAAAAGTAGGCAGAGAACGTGCTTTAGGAATGTTCCCTTGGGGGTGGGATGTCGATTTTTGTAAGAGTGATTAGAAAAGACCTCTCCAAGGGCTATTTGAGCAGGACTTGAGGAAGACCGGGAGCCAACTCTAAACAGGGAACAGCTAACCAGTGCCAAGGCCCTGAGGTGAGGGTCTGCCTAAGTGCGTTCCAGTCCTTCATATGATTGAAGGGAGGAGAAAAGGGCAAGTGCGGTCAGAGAGGAGTGAGAGGCAGATCCCCTCTAGGCCGTGAAGACCGGCTTCTGCCTTGAAAGACATGCAGGATGTCGCAGGGTTTGAGCCGAGAGAGAGACATGAGGTTTCTGGTGTTGGAAAAGACCACTGGCTGCTCTGTCCATAGCTGACCTCAGAGGCTGGAGTAGAGAAGCAGGGAGACCTGTCAAGAGACCAGGAGAGATAGTCCAGCCTGGGATGAAGGTCACTGAGACCACTGTGTAGCCCTGGCAGAGACAGGGGAGGGCCCCTGGGTTTAGAGAGTTAGTGCGGTTTTGCTACTAGATTGGGTTTGAGATAGGAGGGAAGAATGAAGGGTTAGGGTGATGTAGGTTGTCAGCCTAGCGTTTGTACTTGAATTACCATTAACCCCAGTGGAAAAGAATATGGGAAAAGCAGTTTGGTAGGGAAAGATAGATTGCTATTAGATTTTCAAGCAGTGATATGGGTTAGACATTTAGATAATTAATATAGAATCCTGACAAAAGTCTTGACTGAAGAAGTCACAAATGTGGTGATGGGGGTGCATGTGTGCATGTGTGTGTGTGTGTGTGTGTGTGTGTGTGTGTGTGTGTGCCCCCCCCCCCCCCCCCCCCCCCCCGCGCGCGCGCGCGCGCAGTAGGGATTGAACCAAGGGTCTTACACATGTTAGGCAAATGCTGTACAATTGAACTATACCCCCAGCTTTTGAAAAAAAAATCTAATTATGAGTGTGTGTGTGTGTGTGTGTGTGTGTGTGTGTGTGTGAGAGAGAGAGAGAGAGAGAGAGAGAGAGAGAGAAATCGAGCTCAGAGGCTAGAGCCATCAGGTACCCCAGAACTGGAGTTACAGGCAGTTGTGAGCTGCCCAGAGTGAGTACTAGAACCTAACTCTAGTTTATATTCCCTCTTAACCTCTGAACCATCTCTCCAGCCCAGTTACTATTTTTTAATAGTAGCTTTACTGATAAAAAACTTACTGTGTAACTCAGCTATTTAATTTGTACAATTCAGTGATTTTTTTTAGTACATCAAAGATTATGCAAATATTACTATAACCAATTATAAAAGTATTTCCTCTTGCTCTCTCTGAGTTTGAAACAGAGACTCACCAGGCAGTGGTGGTGCACACCTTTAATCCCAGCACTCAGGAAGCAGAGGCAGGTGGATCTCTGTGAGTTCCAGGACAGCCAAGGCTACACAGAGAAAACTTGTCTTGGAAAACCAAAAAAGAAAAAAAAAAAAAAAAAAGAAAAGAAACAGAAACTCTCTCTGTAGACTGGACTAGCCTGGGACTTGAGGAGTCTTCCTGCCCAGCCTCCCAATTGTTGGGATTGCAGGTATGAGCTCTTATGTTGAGTATGCTGAGTACTTTTATTTTCTTCTCTAATACTAGATCTAGCCCAGGACTTCTCCAAGCTAGGGAAATATTGGACCACCTACCTACATTCCTAGCCTGTATCATTTTGTTTCGTTTCATTAATATATTTTTAATGTTTATGAGTATGTGTGTGTCTGCTTGGCCATCCATGTACCACATACATGCAGTGCCTGTGGAAGCCAGGAAAGGGAGTTGGGTCCCCTAGAGCTGGAATTATAGGTGGTTGAGCCATGTGATACAGGTCCTGGGAACTAAATCCTGGACCTCTAAAAGAGCAGCAATTGCCCTTAAACCAAGACATCTCTCCAGACCCCCAAACCAGTTTTTTGAGTTTGCTTTTGAGATAGGGGCTTACTGTGTAGTCTGGATTAGCCTAGAGCTCACAAAGATTTGCCTGTTTCTGCCTTATGAGTGCTTGGATTAACGACATGTGTGCCATACCCAATTATAATGTAAATTTTAAAAAATATTTTTATTATATATAATATATGTAATATAATATTTTATACATATATATTTATTCATTCAGGGTTTCCTTGTGTTGCCCTAGCTATTCTGGAACTCCTTCTATAGACCAGGCTGGCCCCAAACTCATAGAGATCCACCTGCCTCTGCCTCCAGAGTGCTGGGATTAAAGGTATACGACCTGTTTTTTATTTATTTTCAAGACAGCATCTCACTACATAGCCTTGGCTAACCTGGAACTTGCTATGTAGACCAGGCTGGCCTTGACCTCACAGAGATGCGCCTTCTCTGCTTCTTTAGTGCTAGGATTTAAAGGCCTGTACCTCTACACCTAGCCCTTATATTTTATTTTAATTGCATGTATATATTATGTGTCTGTTTGGAGGAATGTGCACATAAATGCAGGTGCCCATGGAGGCCAGAAGAGGGCGTTGATTCTCTATAGTTGGAGTTACATGTGGTGGCATGTAGTGATATATTGTGTACCCTAATAAAATTTACCTGAAGATCACAAGACAGAACAAGCCACTAGATTAAACATAGATGCCAGGTGGTCATGGCACTCACCTTTACTTTTAGCACTTGGGAGGCAGAGATCCATCTGGATCTCTGTGAGTTCAAAGCCACCCTGGACTACATGAGATTGACTCAGTCTAGGAGAGAAACAGAGTCAGGCAATGGTGGCACACATCTTTAATGCCAGTACTTGGGAGTCACATGCCTTAAATGGCTGGGTGGAGAAAGGTATATAAGGCGTGAGGAGACAGGAACTAGAAGAAGCCTTTTGACTGAGGAAGTTCATTTGGCTAGAGGCCAGCAGCTGAGAGTTTTTTGGCTGGAGCCTTTCGGGTGAGGACTCAGAGGATTTCAGTTAGAGGATTCGTGGAATTGGCGAGGTGAGATGTGGCAGTGGCTTGTTCCGTTGTCTCTCTGATCTTTCAGCCTTTACCCCAATATCTGGTGCCAGGTTTTTTTTAATTAAAAGACCTTTAGAAATTCGAGCAACAGTGGCAGGGGCCGATCTGCATACTGGGGACCAAGTATGTGCTCTTCACTGCTGAGCCATCTCAGCCCCTCTAGCCTTTTTTTTTTTTTTTTTTTTTTTGGTTTTTCGAGACAGGGTTTCCTGGTCTCGAACTCACAGAGATCCGCCTGCCTCTGCCTCCCGAGTGCTGGGATCAAAGACGTGCGCCACCACTGCCTGGCCCCTCTAGCATTTTTAAATCCAGAAAACTGTATGAGGAATCTGAGCATTCGTCTTGGGCTGCAAGAGGGTCTGGCCATTAGGGAGATGAAGGCAAACGGAGCCAAGTGAAATGGCCTTTGAAGGAAGAGGGAGCTCTCACACGCACAGGCTGATGAAGGGCAAAAGAGATGAGGATCAAGAACTGGCCATCATTGTAGTGGTGGAGGTGATCTGGACAAGAACCGTGTGACATTTGAGCAGATGCGTATCTGCACAGGGGTGGGAGTGAAGGCCGTTGCAGAGAATGGAAGGACAACTGGAGACGGAGTCCCGGCAGTCTGTCAAAGGATCTGATGGTACGCAGGGACAAAGAAACGGGGCAGGTGCTGCCCAAGGTGCCTCTCAACTGCTGAGCAGGGTCTGAGGCTGCCTTGCTCTTTCTAAGAAGCGTGTGTTTTTCATCCTTGAGATCAGGAGAGAAGGTGAGGGCTGGCTCTAGATCACTGGTAGAATGCTTGCCTAGCGTGTGCAAGATCCTGGGTTTAAGCCCCAGCACTGCCACGGGGGCTGGGGCTGGCCAGACACTGGCAACTGAGAGAGCACGCTAGGAATCTGTAGAAGTCCCCCCTCCCCATTTCAGTTTTCTCGGTTCGAAACAAGCAAGCTATCAGCTGCAAGTGAGGGTAAGATGACGAACGCGTGAGGAGAGCAGGGTGGAAACAGCCGTCTGGTGGCAGTGGGAGATCCCATCTGAAAGGGCAGGATTCTGAACTTGGTCCTTAGGTTCCTGCTTGATATGGCCTCTGTCCATCTGTCCAGCCTCTCCCTCAACCCCTCTCTGCCTTCCCTTCTAGCTGCATTGGCCACTTTCCAGGCTGTAGACGACTCCAGGGGCTTCCTAGCTTTCCCTCTGCTAACATCGTCCTGCCCTTGCTGGTTGAAGGGCCTGTAAGACATGTGTCTGGATGTTCCTGGGATTGAGAGACAGGCCAGTGCATGATGGGGTGGCGAGGGAGGCTGAGAGGAGGAAGTAGAGCAGCGAAACAAGCTGGGGGTTATGACACTTTTCTCTGTGAAGTTTCTGCTATTACAAAGTGCATGCTCTTGCTAGGAACGACATATCTGGTACAGAAGGCAGGGTGGGTGGCGAGTAAGGCGTGGTCAAGGAAGGCCTTACTGAAGGGGACATTTGAGCTGACATAGATGAGCCACGTAGACTTGTGGACGAAGAGGGATGTAGTTGGGGAGATGGCAGGGCACAGAATCAAGTGGATCATGCTCAGTGTGTCAGGTTGGTTGGAGCAGAGTATGGCTGGGAAGGAGAAAGGGTGGAGGGCCCTAGCTTACCGGCTTCTGCCTGATCTCTTTATCCAGGTGAGTTGGGAACCATAGGCTGTGCTCTTCACTTGTGTGTTAACTGACCCTTGGACTGCTGTGTCGGAAACAAGCTGTAGGTCTCATCTCTGCCAGGTGTAGGTGATGTTCCAGGGAACTGAGAGCAGGCAGCTAGTAGAGGACAAGCCAGGAACTGGGCTGAAAGAGCTGGAGGAAGTTGACAAGAAGCAGTGACTTCAGGGAGAGATGGGGGTTTTGAAAGCTATAGGGAGATCAGAGATGTGTGAGTGCCTCTGAATTCGGGGGCCTCTGAATCACAGAGTAGGATCCAGAGAGAAGGGAAGCAGCTGTGAGTGCAGTGGTACAGGGCTTGTCTGGCATGGGTCAGCCTCTGCTGGGTTTCATCCCTTACTCAGAGGGCTGCGGAGGGAGATAGAGGGAGGTGCGAGGCAGTGCTAAATGCAACGGCCAACCCATTTCTGCCAAGTGTTGCTGTGGGGGAGAGCGGGTGTTGTGTTTGGCTGTGATGAAAGGTATACTTACAGAGCTGTTGTGGGGCTGTAACCTGTGTTGTGTGCGCCCCGGGATGGGGGCTTGGGATGCTCACCCAACCACTGGGCCATGAGTGTTGTATGCTGCCTTAAGCATGCTCCTCAGCTTTATGAGTGGGACTCAAGAGTTCAGGAAGATCACCAGCTTGGAATCAGTGTCACAGAGATGCCCCCTTCTGTGGCTCTCAGCTTGAGCCTACTTTGACCAGAAGTCATGTCTCTTTCTATCAAGCTTTGTTTTCAAAAGGGCCCAAGAGCGCCACTGATGAGGACAAGACTGGGATTCCGTGAGCAAGTTTGTACATGAGGAAGCCCCTCACACCTGTGTTTGTTTACATATATCCTTTTCATACGATCAAGTTAATATGTATATAGAGAAGAGATTAAAATTATCCTGCCTTTTCCTAGTTACCACCCGTGAGAATTTTATGCCTTGACGCTAAGGAAAGAATCCCTGTAACAGTCTGAGGAGGCCTTTTTGTGTTCACCACATGCTCTACCTCGCTCTCTCCCTTTGCTTTCTCTGCTTGGCCACCAGGTGTCGCTCTGGTCAGGTCTTTAAGCTTCAGCGTTTAAAGTGGTTTGACCAGAGGACACTGCCAGGTTTTTCTGGGATTCTGGGTAACCTGGCCCTCCCTTCAGGGTTCCGAGTCCCTTCTGTCCTTGGGCCGGGGCAATGCCTGACTCTGTGTATTCCCTGTCCTGTTCAGATCAGAGGAAGCAGGTGTTGTTAGGGCCCAAACATGGAAGCAAGACTGAAAGGGAGCAGAGAAGCCTGACCTGCTGAGTAGTGGCCGAGGTTGGGGAGGAAGCAGGGAAATGTGAGACAGGGACTTGGTAGCCTAAAGTCAGGTGGGAGGGCAGAGGGGTAGTGTGATCTGAACCTAAGACAAGCACACTGCTGCAGGGAAAACAGGTTTTTTCCTCCGCTGGAACTGTCCTTTTGAAGGACAGCTAGTGACAGCCTCAGTAAGTCTCGAAGTTAGATATGAGGGTCTTTTATAGAAATGACTCTGGAAGTTAACTCTCCTCTACTCATCCTTAGTTCCGTCACTCCCAGGGGGGCTTTGTTTGTGTTTTTGCAGTACTGAGGATTGAACCTAGGATTATAGGCATGCTAGGCAAGTGCTCTGTCACTGAGCTCTATTCCCAGTCCTTTAAAAGCATTTTTACTTTTCGTTATTATTATTATATTTATTTATTTATTTATTGTTGTTGTTTGAGACAGGGTCTCACTAGGTAGCCCTGGCAAGACTGCAACTTGCTATGTAGATGAGGCTGCCCTTGAACTTCAGTCCTTCCGCATCAGCTTCCCAAGGAGCTGGGATTACAAACCTGGACCACCAGCCTAGCCCACTGGGCCTTTGTTAATCTTTTTGTCATCATGGGCAACCCAGGTTTGAGGATTTTCTCTGGACTTAGCAGAAAAAGCAAGCACCAAGAGTCTCATCAAGGTCCTGTCAGAGAGACCTAAGAGATGGGGGGGGGGGGGAGGCTGGTTTGTAAGTCATCATGGGAGGGAAGGGGAGGTGTGATGCCCTGATGAGCTTTTCCATAAATGTGTTCCCTTGTCCTGCAGACCCATAGGAAAGCCTGGCCTCCCTCTTGCTGTAGGGGTGGAAATTAGTCTGTTTAGCACTAGGCGTAGTGTTTGAGAACTGCCTGATGTCTAGCCTTTCTCAGTCAGGTATCCATCTCTGCTTTCTTCCTCATAGCTCTTCCGATGACGGGGTGTAGCCCTGTGTTTGCCATGCAGCACATTGTGGGTGTGCCCCATGTGCTGGTACGAAGAAGCTTCCTTGGAACGGAGCTCCTTATGACAAGGACTCTGTGCAGTCCAGGTCCCAGCCAGCCCAGAGAGAAGCGACCAGAGGCTGCAGCCTTAGGGCTGTATCACCGCCTCCCAGCGTTGGGAAGAACGCTGGGCCACACCATTCAGCAACAAGCAACCTCCACCGCCAAGGCTTGGTGGGACAGATATGAAGAGTTTGTGGGACTCAATGAAGTCCGAGAGGCTCAGGGAAATGTGACTGAGGTGAGGAGGGGAGCCAGGGTGGTTGGCTTTGCCTTCGTTTTGGGAAATACGGCTTGGTCTAACAAAAAAAGTTCCCAGCTGCCCATGTGGTGGCAGCTGGGAACTATATGGACACTTTGGTCTTTTGTGTTTGAGACAGGGCCTTATATATCCCTGGCTGGCCTTGGAATCCCTATGTAGCCAAACTCCTGAGCTTCCTGTGTCCACCTCCTGAGCCTTGGGATTACAGATGTGTCCACCACAACCGACCATCTTCCTTTCTGAGACAGGGTTTTATCCTGAAGTCCAGGCTTGCCTGGAACTTATAATATATTCCAGCTGGCTGCAAACTTGTGATCTTCCTGCCTCAGAGCTGAGATTATAGGCGTGGGTCACCACACCCAGCTCAGACTTGCCTTTTCTTAAACATCACTGGTAGAAATATTTGACTCTTCCTCATGTGGAAATCTGGATCTGTGCTACTGAGGTGAAGGTCTGTCTCTAGGTAATTATACCCACTGCTCTGTGAAAGCACTCAAGTACTGAGAAGTCCCTGGCTAATGACTCCCTTTGTATTAGACCAGCAGATCGTCCTTCGTGGACTCTTTTCCTTATGGTGTGAAGGCACAGGACACTGGGAAACATCATGTTGGGAAGTACAGCGCTGCCTGTGGTTTTCAAGTCCTTGGTGCAGCGGGAATGCATTCAGTCACCTGTCTCCACTCAGATGCAGAGCAGTGTAGCAGGCTGGGAAGAAGCTAGGGTTTAGGCACGTGGTTGTCTCTCCTTGGAAAATATTTGTACCAGTGAGTTCGGCTGAGTTGAAATTTCCAGGATCATCAGCTGGAGGCTGTAGGGATGCCTTGATGGTGGTACTGTAGGCCTCAGTAACACACTGGAAACAGCGTAACAACATGGGTTCCTCGGGGTGGTTCCCCTCAGACAAGAGTTGGCTGGTTTGGGACAAAGATTGTGTCACTGTTTGCTTTTTGCAAGTTTCTCAGGGGCATGTTATTTCTGCTTGAATGAATAAATCCAGTGCTTCACATGGGCGTGGCCTATGGCTGCATGTTGAGCATGCCAGAGCCAGGATTAACGTCCAAGGACTGTGTCTACCTTTCACAGTGACACCCCAGTGACCTCTTTTCAGCTGCTGCCTTGTTAGCTATGGAGCTCAGCCTGTGTGGGGATGGACAGAAAGGGCTGATGGCATCTGACGTTCTCTCTGCAGGCAGAGAAAGTGTTCATGGTGGCTCGCAGCCTTGTCCGAGAGGCTCGGGAGAATTTAGAGGCGCAGCAGGCTAAGCTGAAGGAGGTAAGGGACCGTTTGGACCGAGTCTCCAGGGAGGACAATCAGTACCTGGAACTGGCTACTTTGGAGCACAGGATGTTGCAGGTGAGCCCCTCAGGGAAGAGCCCTCGCTCACCTGCACAAGGCCCCAGGCATGGCAGGGTGTGGAGGTGGTAACCCTGACTGTTGATGGACGCTCCTGTGGTGGTCGTGGCCCCAGGCTTCCGGAGCCTGTCTGCCTGCTCTTTCCTGAGTACTGGGCTGAACAGTCCAACAAAGTCCTGACTGACACCCAAACTACTGCAGAGAGGATGGAGGTCCTGGTCAGGGAATCCCACATGCTTATTTCCTGTAGACATGTTCTGCATGACTGCCCGGGGGGAGATCATGTGATCACCTTTCATACTTCCTGCGTTCATGCAGCAGGTGTTGGTGGACCAGGGGCAGGGCGTGGCCCCCGTGCCAGTGGCTGCCGTCACGAGGCCCCTTGTTGCTGCCTGACACCACTTTGCTCCCCCCACAGGAAGAGAAGAGGCTCCGCGCAGCATATACGCGTGCAGAGGACTCAGAGCGGGAGAAGTTCTCTCTCTTCTCTGCAGCTGTGCGGGAGAGCCACGAGAAGGAGCGCGCAAGGGCTGAAAGGACTAAGAACTGGTCCCTCATTGGGTCAGTTCTCGGAGCTTTGATCGGTGTGGCCGGCTCCACCTATGTTAACCGTGTCCGGCTACAAGAGCTGAAGGCCTTACTCTTGGAGGCACAGAAAGGGCCTGTGAGTCTCCAGGAGGCCATCCGTGAACAGGCTTCTAGTTACTCCCTCCAGCAGAGAGACCTCAAGGACCTTATGGTGGATCTGAAGGGCCTGGTGCATGCTGGGCAGGGCCAGGGCTCTGGGTCATCAACAGGTGCCTCTTCTACCCGAGGAAAAGACATAGATGTCCTTTCAGCTGCCATGAAAGAGCAGCTCAGTCATTCCCGGCAGGTCCATTCCTGCCTAGAGGGTTTACGAGAGCAGCTTGATGGCCTGGAAAAAACGTGCCGTCAAATGGCTGGGGTGGTTCAGCTTGCAAAGGCTACGGCACATCCGGGCCTGACGGAGCCAGCAGACGGGGCCCTGCCTAGCTCTCTGCTGGAACAAGGGAGCATGATCTTGGCCCTGGATGATATGGAGCAGAGGCTAGAAGCCCAAGTCAACAGGAATGCCATCTGCAGCACACTGGTCACCTGTGTGACTTTTATGGCCACACTGCCTGTGCTCTACATGCTGTTCAAGACCAGTTAGCCCTGGGATCCCTCTTCAAAGGGGCCTAAGGGTGAATGTGGCTTTTGTTGGTGAGATAATGAATCTTGAGGTACACAAAACCTCAGACTGACTGAGTACCATCTGAGGAGCTCACCAACAGGTATATTTTATTTTGTAGGTAATATTTACATTAATTATCAAAACTTTGTGCAAATGTCCAATTAAAATATCTAAGAATTTGTATTATTTCAAAGTTTTACAGCAGGGCAGTGGTGGTGCACGCCTTTAATCCCAGCACTCAGGAGGCAGAGGCAGGTGGATCTCTGTGAGTTCGAGGCCAGCCTGGTCTGCAGAGTGAGTTCCAGGACAGCCAGGGCTGTTACACAGAGAAACCCTGTCTCAAAAAACCAAAAACAAACAAACAAAAAAGATTCTTACATCAGACTCAGTTTTGTCATTGACTCCAGAAATCTGGGACTTGGGGTTTGGCCTGGAGTGAGAGAACTCACCCCTTTAGTTCCTTTCTTATCCCATCCTGGTCCTGGCTCAGGACTGTGTTAGATGAGGTCATCCCTGAGGTCTGGATTCTCACTTTGAATATCCCGATATTCTCTCCGCTTGTTTGGCCTTCCTAGCCTGGTGCATAGCTGTCTGCCTGGGGTAGGGAAGAGAGGGACTTCCTGGTTCCTGTGCTAAAGTGTGCTCAGAGGAGAGGAAGGAAGAGATGGGGACATCATTACAGACCCATGGCTTGTCTGTATCCCTTGTGCTCTGGTCCCATGCAGCCTGGGACCCTCCAAAGGCATGGGCAGAGTTCAGACCCATGCTGGTAGCAGCGTGGAGAAGTAGTTAAAGGTACAGTGAAACATGGGTGTGGACTGCCCTGAGAACCCTGACCTCCCTTTTCAGAGGGAACAGTGACCCTTGACTTCCTCAGCTAAATGGTGTGGGAGGCCTTGTGTAAACAGAATTTGTGGAGTGTTGCTCTGTGCCTGAGTATTAGAGGTCTAGAACCATAGTGGAGAGTCAGTCTAACAGCCGCCCTGGAGTGCACCCCCACCCCAGCGTGCACCAAGGTGGTGTGCTTCAGGTGGGAGCTTGTTTGTGCCCGTGGAGCCACAAGTGTTTCCCATGAGGAGCCCTAGTCTAAACAGCAAGCGTGGCCCAAATGGCTCCTCAAGGTCTTTGAACCTCTGAGAACCTAATCTCTTGGTCATTTGGTTCCTTCATTCTCAGTATACAGTGATTCCCTAGGGTGAGACAACCCCAGCACCTAAGGGTGTGTTCATACTCCTGAAGGGCCAGGAAGCACCGCATCTGTGTACCCATGAGGAAGGCTGTGGAGAGTTCAGGCTCCCCTCTGGGATAAAGTCAGTTCCACCAGGTATACACTTGATGAAGTGGGTCTGAGAGGAGCGGACTCGCCACATGTGAAGGGGACTCCTAGAAGTTGCAGAAGTAGGAAGGCCAACAGAAGTGGGAGTCAGGGTAGACTGTCCCAGCTGAGGTGGGGATAGATCTGGGAGACTTGTGAAGCATAAGGGTGCGGAAAACAGGTTGTAGTGCCGGTTGTCACAATGTGCTGATGATGTCCAAGGTGACTGGAATCAGGTGCTGAAAGTGGGGGTGGAGGAAAAAGAGAGGTGATCTGAGACCTAGGGGAAGGATATTTTAGAAAGCAGGAAGATGAGTGAAAGGACCCTGTCTCAGTTTCTATTGCTGTGATGAAACACCATGACCAAAAGCAAGTTGGGGAGGAAAGGGTTATCTGGCTTATGTTCATCATTGACAGAAGTCAGGACAGGAACTCACACAGGACAGCATCCTGGAGGCAGGAGCTGATGCAGAGGCCATGGAGGGTGTGCTTACTGGCTTGCCTATCATGGCTTAGCTGAATGAGCCGGCTTTCTCAGAGAAAGCAGGACCACCTACCTAGGGGTGGGTGGCTCCACCCGCAATGGGCTGGGCCGTCCCCCATCAATCACGAATTGAGAAAATGTCCTACAGCAGGATCTTATGGAGGGATTTTTCTCAATTGAGGTTCCCTCTTGTCAGGTAACTCAAGCTTGGTCAAGTTGACATAAAACAAGCCAGCACAGCCCCCACCCCACCCTTGAGATGGCGGTCGAAGAGGAGTCTAGCATCAGCTCTGAGTACAACTTCCTATGCAGAAGGCTTCCCTGCTGGAGGGCCCTCTAACCTTAGAGGCTTCTATATATATATGGCAGATTTTGCCTTTCCGGATGTTGTGCCGATAGCCTTGAGCTAAAGTCCTCCAAAAGCCCTCAGGACGGGTCAGGTCCTGGCTCTACAGATTGCCTTAGTCAAGCCCAGGTGTAAAGGGCCTTGCATAAGGCTCAGTGCAATGTGCCTAGGGGAGAGAACCTCTGCATAGGGTTTCCTGCCCAGGAAGACCCAGGTGTTTTCCAAGGAGGGAGTCCAGACTTGCGCAAGGCTTCTGAGTTCTGGATGGCTCAAGGTACAGGCCTTGGAGAAAAGGAAGGGAGACCCTACTTACGCACCTCGCAGCCAGTGTGCCCTGCTTTCACAGCCCAGCTATGGGTGGTATCACCCCCACTTGTGGGTGAGCAAATAGGTCGGGGGGAGGGGTGTCAGGTTACACGGCTTAGTGATGGCGCAAACTCGGGTCCAAAGCCCGGGCTCTACTCAAACAGCTAGGGGTGGGGACCGGAAGGAGAGGTTGGGTGTTGAGGAGTCCTGGGTGAAGGAAAGGTGGGCAGGGCCAGGTGAGAAGAGGAGAAAGCCGGCGCCTAGGAGTTCAGGTGAAGAAAGTTGGGGAAGGATGGCCACAAGCGCCAGGAACTAGAAGGGAAACAGGGCGCTCGGGGCGCTGGGCGAGGCGCGTTGGGGGTAGTGAAGATGGTGGTTAGGGAACAGGCCGGGCAGGTGAGGGACACGAGTCCCATCGAACTCTGGCCGGGCGAAGCTCCGGGGCTGTATCACTACACCCAGGAGGAAGGCGAGCAACCACGGCCGCGGCCGCTTGCGTTCGGGGAGTGGGGCCCGTGGCTGGTCCCGAGCCGCGCAGGTGAGGCCCCGCTGGGCGGGGCGGACCGCCCACGCTCCGGGCTAGGCTCCTCACCCTACACGTCCGCGTAGCCATGGCTACCGCCGGGGTGCAACAGCCCCCACTTAATGAGAGGGGCCGATCATCCCCTAGGCCCTTCACAAACTCGGATCCCGCGGGACCGGAATGCGGGGTCCCGGGGGGCTGGGGCAGCGCACCCCGCTCTCCCGGCTGCTTCCGGCCTGACCCGGGCGGCGCGCGGGGGGAGGGCGGCCCGACGGAAGGGGGGGTGGTGGAAGGAGCGGAGCTCGGGCCGGCCGACGCGGCTTTGTCTCCTTTGTTCCCAGCGGTGGCAGCGCCGCGGCGGGAGGGGCGGGCAGCGGGCGCAGTTTTCCGCCCCTCGGTCTCCGGGTAACAGCTGCGGCTCCGCCAGACCCACCTCCGGGGGGAGGGAAGGTCGCGCGGCGCGCAGATCCCGAGCGAGCCCGGAGCTGCCCGCGGACGCCTCGGCGCGCGCATCCCGCAGGCAGGTTGGGCGGTGAGTTGCGGGGCTTGGGCTGGGAAGGCGGGGCCGGGGCCAAAGCCGCGCGCACCCAGGTGGAACGACCCGAGGCCTCGGGCCCGCTGGGCACGGGCAGCCTGAGTGGAGCGGTGGGCGGCTTCGGTCCCGAGAGTTGGGACCACACTCGTGCGCGCGAAGGCAAACTCTGGCGGCACCGCCTGAAACGCGATTGGGAGACAGAGGAGGTGGAGCTGCTCCTCCGCGCCCCCTCCTCGCTGCCGCCACCGCCGCCGTCGGGACCGGCCGGCCCCTTCCCCGCCCTCCCAGGGCCACTGGTGGGGTCTTTGTCCCGTGGCGCGGTGGAGGGAGGAGGGCTGAGGATGAGCCGAAGCAGGGAAGTGGAGGCTCCCCCATAGGATAACAGACCCTTCAGGCTGAGGCTGACAAAGGAGGACCACGAGCCTTCTAATTCTGGGACTCAGTCTTGGTACCGACATACCCAGCGTGTGCTTGATGAGCACCTTAATTTATGGCGGGTATCTGGTAAATAATGGCCCTCCCTCTCCCCCACTCAGCATCCAGAAAGCAGGTGTGCAGTGCTCACCATTTCACTGTCAATGAGTAACGCTCCCCTTTAAGTGGATACTGGGACGGGGACTCAGAAAGGGAAGGCCAGTTTCCCAACTCCCAGGCAAGGCACATGTGCAGGTGCGGATGGGCTGAATTTGTGAGCCCTCTCGGTTAGTGAGAGCAGCTACAGGGAGAGGGTCAGGTAGTGCTTGCCCTTTGCAGAATTCAGGCACTCTTTGGCCCCGCTGAAGGGTTTCAGGGAATGTGGGCTCTGAAGAGGCCTGTGGGGCAGGCCTGGGCACAGGCAGAGTTAGACTTTGGCTGTGGGCCTGGACGGAGCCTGAGATGTGGGGAGCAGGGAGGAGACACTGGTGGTGCAAGTACAGGACGTGAGGCTTGGCTCCAAAGAAGTGTTTTCAGTCTGCTCTCGTCTGATCATTAGTAAAACTGGGCCAATTCCTTGTCTTTTGAGAGGCCAAAAGGCTTGGAAAGCAGTGTGTAAGCTCCGTGTTACCTCCCACTGGCTGGGTTTCCTTGGCAGTGAAATGGGGGGGCTCATTCACCATGTAGGGAACACCTGCTCTTCGTTGGGGTTGCCGGTTGCTGAGGCCTCTTAATTAAAAGTGGGAACTCTCCGCCTTGTCCAGGGTGGGCGGGTGCAATGGGAGAAAATGGTCTTGGGGTCCTGCTCACGCCAGGTCCACTACTGCATTTACTGGTCAGAGCAGCCCTGCGTCCCCTCCCACCAATGGGAAAACTGAGGCACAAAGCCCAAAGAAGGTGTGTCCATTTCATCTACCACACAGGGTCACCTCCTCAGGAGTCTGGGAAGCCTAGGAAGGCTCCCCAGGGAGGTGATGGCTGGGCGTGGGAGGTAATGGGAGAGAGAGGGAGTGGTCATTCCAGGCGGAGGGAGCAGCCCTTGTGATGGCTGGGAGGAGTAGAGCATGTGTGAGGGAGGACGGGGATGAGAGGGGCCTGACCTTTATCTCTCCAGCCCTAGGGTACCCCCAAAGCTTGAGGGCTGTGGACACTCCATTTTTGTTTAAAGACAATCCAGTGAGGTCCCTATAGATTGGAGGGACTAGGGATGCCTCTGTGGTGTGTAGCCCAAGTGAAATCTGTCTGCTAGCATGTAGGAGGAAAATGTCACTCCCCTTTGTCCTGCTCCTTCCCATGGTATGCAGGCCGACTGACGTAGTTCCTTAGCGTGGGTTAACCTCTGACCTGTGTGCTGAGCTCTTCGGAGCCCTTGCATTTCTCTGTATGTTCTCCCCAGCGCAATTGTAATTTCAGTTTGGGGAGTGGTTTTGTTACTGCCCCTTGAGGGCCGAGGAACTTTGGCATGCAGTAGGCTCTGAGCAAATATTTACAAGCTAATGAAACAGCAAATGCTGGTCTCGCTATGGGACCCTGTGCCCAAGGCACATCTGTGGCCTGAGGTGGTGGGAGGGTCGTGCAATGGCAGCACAAGAGGTGGCTTCTGCCTTTCCAGGGGAGGAAGCGTGGTCTCTCTATCCCTTGGAAACAAGGTGGGGGGCTCTTTAGTAGCCTGGCCTTGCCACAGTCCTGGGCTTCTGGCTGCTTTTCCCTGCTGCCTCCCCCTCCACACACACACCCCTTTGGGTGGCAAACAGAGGCAGCCTTGTTCCCGCTCCCATAGAGCTGCCCTGTTCTCTGCACACTAAAAATGGAAACCCCCAAGCTATTTTGGGAGCAGTGCCCAGCCAGACTGTGGCCATGGCCCCCTGCTCCCACTGGGCTGTGACCACAGCGTCCTTGCTCCCACCAGGCTGCTGGACCTTCCTCTTAGCCTTGTGCCCAGCTCTGCTTGTGATAGGGCAACCTCAGGAGCGCCCTGCTGAGGCCTCCGATAGTATGGGCCAATCCAGGCACAATAAAGGGAACTTTGGGAACATTCTGCGTAGACAGCCTGGCAGCTAGGTGGTGGGAAGGGCTGGGCAATGTGGCCTGGGCACAGGCAAGGAGGGAAAGTGTTTCTCAATGTAGGATGGTTTGTCCCATAACCTAACCAAACTTTGGTGTTCCTGCTTGAGGACCAGTGGAGTTTGGGAAAGGTAGTGTTGCCATAGTTACTTAAGTCTGGGATTTAGGAGCTTTAGCTGGGGCCTGCAGAGTGGGAAAGCAGGCACTGAAAGTCTGGGGAGGTCCTAGTGTTGGACTCGGGTTGCAGGGCACAGCAGGCATGGTCACTTCCTCAGAATACCCAGCCTACCACTCATACTGCGCTCTGGGTTCTGATTCTGCAACCTGCAGGGAGAAAATTCCAGGAGACGGCCTGCCTTCCACAGCTTTCTAGGACTTAGTGCTGGAACCAGGGAAGTGTGCGTGAGTCTGTATGTGCAGGTGTCTAATGTGGGTGATGTGTGTGTCTCTGGTGGGTAGGTATGATGTGTCAATGCAGTGTCTGTAGGGGGCAGAGTTTTGTATGACTGTTTTCATGTGGTGTCTGAATATAGTTGCATGTGCCCTGTGTGGTGTGTTTAATGTTTGTGTGTATGTGTTTACTGTGTGCATAGGTTATCACATGGTTCTCCAGATGTGGTGTTGGGCACACAGAGACATCTGCATGCATAACCGTGTGTATATCTGTATGTGCAAGTGCTCCTGTGTCTGTGTGGAGATGTATGCATTCAGGGTAGGTGGTATGCATATATCTTAGTGTGTGTGCGTGTGTACCTGCTGGTGTGCTGGTGCCCATTTGGGTTAGGGTAGCCCCTGGTTTGTGTGAGTGGTGTATAGCTGAGTGCCTTGACAGAGCAGAGTTAAAGCCAAGGGTAAGGTGGCAAGAGTGCCGAGAAGGGACCTCAGTGCTGGGGGCCTGACTGGGCCCAGATGGCCATGGGGCGCCTTGCTAGTTGACCTTTCCCAGGCCCCTCGGGTGCCTGGCTCTGCTGCCCTCCCCCTCCCTGTGTGGGCTCTGAGGAGGCGTCCTCTGTGGAATGTGTTTGGTGGCTGAGGGCCAGGCTGGGCTGGGCTCTCCCGGCGGACTGGGGAGTGGGGAGGGGAGTCCAGGGCTCCCACATGCCTGCAGCCCAGCCCCCAGTTTTATCCTCTGCTTTCCCCCACTGGCTAGGTGACTCCTGCTCAGGTCATGCTGTTATCTCCTGATCCAGCCAGCCCTGCCAGGTGAGCCAGACTTCACCCTAATGGGGAACAGTGTGACTGTCACTGCTCCTTGGGGCTCCCCAAGGTGGGGCCCTGCCCTTCAGCCCCCACCCATCCCACCATAGCCTATAGCCTATTGGTTACCACCCTTTTGGACTCCTGGCCTGAAAGGCCCTTCATCCAAATTCTTTTCTTTTTCATGTATTTATTTTGTTGTTGTGTTGAGATGGGGTCTGTATGTGACTGTCCTGGAACTCACTATATAGACCAGGCTGGTCTCAAACTGACAGAGGTCCACTTGTCTCTGCCTCCAAAGTGGTAGGATCATCACACCCATCTCTGCGTCCAGTTCTTGCATTGTTAATGACACGCTCGTGGTCTATAAGAACTCACCATCCCTCCTGCTGCTGCCTGGGAGTCTAGTGTCCGTATAGAGGGAGCCTCTCCCTCCTCAGAGACCTCTTTAGTCACTTGAATCAGAGAGCAGGGTGTAGAAGGAACGAGGAGATGAGTGCGGAGCTAGGGTGGAGTGTGGGTAGGTGCAGGTCGAGAGCGTAGTGTCTACAGAGAAGGGGTAGTGGTGAGTTTTCCAAGGACAGTGTCTTCTGTTTCTGCCTTGGTCAGTGTGTAGTCCTGGAATCACCCCGCGCATCTCAGCCTAGTGAATACTGGGAATCTCTGAGTAGCCCAGGTTAGGAGGAGCACCTTGGGAGTGCCACAGTCCTATCCCTTATCAGTAATTTCTGAGTACCCTCCTGGCCATGTGAGCCTCACCTAGCTTTTCTCTCTGCCAGGTGACCATGCCTGTCCTCGGCCCAGTTCTTCTTCAGGTGCTCTGGGCCGGGAGTGTCCTCACCCTACAGTCCCCTCTGCCGGCTGCTTTCACTGCCAATGGCACACATCTACAACACTTGGCAAGAGACCCCACCTCAGGTACCCTTTACGTAGGGGCCACCAACTTCCTGTTCCAGTTGAGCCCTGACTTGCAGCTAGAAGCCGTGGTGTCCACAGGCCCTGTGAATGACAGCCTAGACTGTCTGCCACCTGTGATACCTAATGAATGTCCCCTAGCCCAGCCTACTAACAACCCTAACCAGCTGCTCCTGGTGAGCCCAGAGGCTCTGGTGGTGTGTGGGAGTGTACATCAGGGCATCTGTGAGCTACGGAGCCTGGAACAGATTGGGCAATTGCTGCTACGGCCAGAGCGGCCTGGGGACACCCAGTATGTGGCTGCAAATGACCCTGCAGTTAGCACAGTGGGGCTGGTGGCCCAGGGGTTGGCAGGGGAGCCCCTCCTGTTTGTGGGGCGAGGGTACACCAGCAAGGGTGTAAGCGGCGGTATTCCTCCCATTACAACCCGGGCCCTGCGACCACCGGACCCCCAAGCGGCCTTCTCTTATGAAGAGACGGCCAAGCTGGCTGTGGGCCACCTCTCTGAGTACAGCCACCACTTTGTGAGTACCTTTCTACGTGGGGCCAGTGCCTATTTCCTGTTCCTGCGGAGAGACCTGAAGGCCGCTTCTAGAGCTTTCCGTGCCTATGTGTCCCGAGTGTGCCTTCAGGACCAGCATTACTACTCCTATGTGGAACTGCCCCTGGCCTGCCAGGGTGGCCGCTATGGCTGGATCCATGCTGCAGCTGTCGCCACATCCAAGGAAGTGGCCCACGGGGAAGTGCTCTTTGCAGCCTTCTCCTCGGTGGCTCCTCCCACTGTGGACTGGCCCCTGTCAGCATCGCCTGGGGCATCTGGAACCTCTGTGCTCTGTGCCTTCCCCCTGGATGAGGTAGACCAGCTTGCTAATTATACTCGAGATGCCTGTTACACCCGGGAAGGCCGTGCTGAGAACGGGACCAAGGTGGCTGACATTGCATACGGTGTCCTTTCTCACTGTGCGCAGCTTCCAGTGGTGAGTCCAGGTGTTGGTCACCAAGCACCTAGTCAGAAAGGCCGAGGGGAGCAGGGGAGGGTGGAGTGGCATGCTAGCTGCTAGGTATTTCCTTTTAGCCCCGAGCAGGAAGACTACCTTATTGTAGTGGCCGAGGCAGATGGCAAGGAGCAGTGCAGGGTTTGCTTGAGTCGGGCGCTAATGAAGTGACTGGAGAGGTTGGCTGAGGCTGTTTGGGCTGGAGGCTGAGGATGGAGGTTGGAATGAGCGCTCTTGATTTAGGTTCTAGAGCAAAAGCAAAGGTAAAGAGTCGTGTGGCTATAGCCTAGGAAGGATAGGGATGGAGAAACTGCTCCCTGAGCCCAGGCCAGTGTGCTGGGAATTGAGCCAAGCTGTGAGAGCTTCAGGACATGGCTCAGGAAGAGGTGTTGAGTGTAGTAGCTGGAGGAAGTAGCTTCCAGGAAGGGAAGGCAGAAGTTGGGGGCCATGAGGGTCGGGATGAAAAGTGGAAGGAACCACTAGAAACTCGGAGGATGGAAGTCACCGCGGAAAAGCTAAGGCTGGGTCTGTAAGAGTGTGCTGCCCAGGGCGGGACTGTCAGGAAGGCCTAGCAGAGATTGGGGCCTAGGAGAAGGTTGTCCTGGGAGGTTATCCAGGCAGGGTCTTAGTGATGCCTTTTGCTACCTGTAGGATACCCCGGAAGCTTTTCCCTGTGGCTCAGACCACACACCCAGCCCCATGGTCAGCTGTGTCCCTTTGGAAGCCACACCAATTCTGGAGCTGCCAGGGGTTCAACTAACAGCTGTGGCAGTCACCATGGAGGACAGACACACCATTGCTTTCTTGGGTGACAGTCAAGGACAGTTGCACAGGGTACGTCCTTAGGAAGTACTGAGGCTGGGATGTGTGACATGTGACATACTACATGCCTCCCATCCCTGCCCCAGCTCTGTTTGTACTGCTCTGCCCAGGGTTGGGTGGTATTTACCTATGATTCTCCCCGCATACACATACACCCTACCCAAGGCTGGTTGTAATAACCTGTCTTGCCTGGAACTCACAATGTAGACCAAGCTGTTCTCAAACTCACAGAAATCTGCCTGTCTCTGCCTCCAGAGTGCTGGGACTAAAGGCTGCCCCACCACACCTGCTCAAAGAGAAAACATATTCATAAATTGTTTCAGTTCTAAGGGGAGGAAAGTTTGGAGTTTGTGGTTTGGGGCTTGGTGCCAGACCTCGTGGTCTTTCGTCTTAGGTCTACCTAGGCCCTGGAAGTGTCGTCCCGTACTCTAAGCAGAGCATCCAGCCCGGATCTGCTGTGAGCAGAGACCTTACCTTTGATGGTACCTTTGAGCATCTGTATGTAGCGACCCAGACTACTGTAAGTCCTGGACACAGGCTAGGAAATGACTGCTGGGAGGGGTCTCTGGGCAGGTACAGGGACCCGTATGTGGGTGAGCCACTGGTTTTTGGATTGCCAGCCTCAGGTCCTCTTTGCTGTCACAGCTTGTGAAAGTTCCTGTGGCCCCTTGTGCTCAGCATCTGGACTGTGACTCTTGCCTGGCCCACAGGGACCCTTATTGTGGCTGGTGCGTGCTCCTGGGCAGGTTAGTTCTCCACAACTCCTGGGCTTGTGCCGCCTCTGTGACTGCGTTATACAAGATGCTTGGCCCTGTCCATCGACTCTCAGCCTCTCACCTCTGGATAGCCCACCCCTGCTCTTCATCCCTACTCAGGGCTTCGGTTCCCTGCCATAGCAGACACCAGAGCCTGGTATCAACCCAATGTGAGGGCTGTGACCAGGGCCTCAGGACTAAAGATGTGTTTGCTTTGTGAATTCTTGGTGGCTGCTAGAGGGTCACAGTTCATGCTGGTTCTTCTCAGATGCAGTCGCCGGTCTGAGTGCTCCAGGGGCCAGGGCCCAGAGCAATGGCTATGGAGCTTCCAGTCGGAACAGGGCTGTCTTCGAGTGGTGGCTCTGAGCCCTGCCAATATCAGTCGGGAGGAGACGAGGGAGGTAAATGCCCAGAGTAGGTGGGGCCCCGATGGGGAGAGCTCTGGGGATGGATAGAGACCTTGGGCTTTTCTGTTGTTGCATTAAACGCCACATGGCCTTGCTCAGCCACTTCTCTTGGGCCTTGGATTTCTCTGTCACAGTCAAGGTCAGAGGGTGTTGTAGGGCTCAAGGGCTACAGGATGCTAGTGCCAGCCTGTAGTTGGTGTCCCTTAAATGAGAGTCCTTGGTCTACCACCCAGAGGTCCCAAAGCGTGCCCCTTGGCTTTCTCGGTAGGTTTTCCTGTCGGTACCGGGCCTGCCATCTCTTTGGCCAGGGGAATCGTATTTCTGCTACTTTGGAGACCATCAGAGTCCTG